TACGGGGAAAAGTAGGGTAGGGAAAGGGGGACTGAAATTTGGTATGGCGTGGGGTACTGGACAATAGGGTACGGGACAGTGGGTTTTTGAAGTGGGGTAGGGCAGTTGGGTATGGAGGGTTTTTGGAAGAAAGGGGTAGTGGCAGTAGGGTACGGACAGAGGGTATGGACAGTAGGGTACGGCCCGGGGGGTACCGGACAGTGGGGCCCCCGGCAGTAGGGTACCGACAGTGGGGTACTGGCAGCAGGTACCGGAAGTGTGTACTGGACAGCGGGTAGGACAGTAGGGGTACTGGATCGTAGGGTACTGGACAGTGGGTGCTGGGTAGTAGGGTAATGGACTTAGGGTACTGGACAGAAGGTTTTGCAGGAGGTTACTGGAGAGTAGGGCCTGGACAGTGGGTTTTTGCAATAGGGACTGGAAAAGGGGGGTATGGAAGAAATGTATGGATCGTGGGATGGACAGTGGGACTGGCAGTAGGATATGGAAGTGGGGTTTTGGACATTAGGGTATTTAACAGTAAGGTATTGACAGGGGGTTCGGATAGAAGGGTTTTTTGCGTAGGGATGGACTGTGGGTTACGGGACAGTAGGGTTTTTGACAGTAGGGTACTGGACAGAAGGGTACTGGAAGTAGGTTACTGGACAGTGGGTGTTTGGCAATGGGGCACTGGACGGTAGGGTACGGAAGGTGGTACGGGTCAGTAGGCATTGGACTAGGGTATGAACGTGGGGTACTGGACAGTAGGGAACTGGCCCAAGAGTACCGGACAGAGGGACTTTACAGGGGGTACTGTACAGTTGGGTACCGACATACGGTCTCCAAAAAGGTACGGACATTTGGGACGGGACATTATGGACTGGGCTAGGGTACTGGACAGTAGGTAATGCAGTAGGGTACCGGACAGTAGAGTCTTGACAGTGGGGTACACGGGACAGTAGGATACTGGGCAGTGGGGTACGGACAAAAGGGACTGGACATAGGGTTTTTTGCCATGGGGTACGGGGCAGAAAGGGTACTTGACAGTATGGACTGGACAGTAGGGTACTGGACAGTGGGTAGGCAGTGGGGTATGGCGTGGGGTTTTGGACAGTGGGGATGGACAGTGGGTCCGGACGTAGGGTCCCGGACAGAAGGGTACTGGACAGCAGCTACCGGACAGTAAGTACCGGACAATAGGTTTTGGGGTAGGGGGGGACGGGACAGTAGGGTAGGGGCAGAAGGACTAAACATGGGGGACGGGTAGGGCGACGGGAAAAGTACTACTGGACAGTAGGGTTTTGACAGTAGGGTACTGGACATGGGGTCGGGACACTGGGTTTACGGACATTAGGGTACGGGCAGTAGGGAATTTAAAGGGGGTACTGGCATGGGGTACGCCAGTGGGGCACGGGGACGTAGGGTACTGTACAGTGGGTATGGACATGGGAACGGGACGTTGGGTACTGAACAGAAGGGTAGGGGGACAATTGGGTACGGGCAGTAGGGTATGGCATTGGGTCCGGCAGTAGGGTACTGGACAGTAGGGAAATGGACAGTTGGGAAATGGACAGTGGGGTACTGGACAGTTGGGACTGGACAGTGGGGTCGGACGAGGGTACGGGACAGTTTGTACTGGACGTAGGTACGGACTTTTTGGGGTACTGGACAGGGGGACTGGACAGTAGGTACCGACGTAGGGTACTGGACATTTGTGTAATAACAGTTGGTATGAACGTTGGGTTGGACAGTGGGGAAAGGGACAGTAGGGTCTGGACAGGGGGCCTGACAGTTGCGTACTGGCGTAGGGTACTGGCATAGGGTACTGGACATTCGTACGGGGACAAAGGGGTACGGAAGTAGGGTACTGGACAGTTGGTACTGGACAGTAGGGTACGGGACAGTAGGGTATGGTCAACAAAACCTCTTAATATGGAATTAATTTATAAAGACAGTCAAAAGAGACTAAATTTTGATAAAGAATGACTGAAATATAGGGGTGATTAATTTTTTTGATAGTCTTAGGAAACCGTTTAAATGCGAACTGATAGAGAACATACATGTCAAAATGACGACACTGACGCCTGAAAAAACATGTCAAAATACACACTGACAGCTGCAAACAGTAAAAATGACGACGCTGATCCGAAAAACATTCAAAATGACGACACTATACACGAACAATCATGTCAAAATGACGACACGATACACTGAACAAACATGTCAAAAGAACAAAATGTCAAAATGAACCCGATCCCTGAAAAAACAGTCAAAATGACGACACTGATACACTAAACAAACAGCAAAATGACGACACTGAACACAACAAACGTAAAATGACGACCGAACACTGAAAAAAAATTTCAAACTGCAACATTGTAGACGACAAATCTAGGAACTACAAAATTTTGAACTATCTCGGGCATCACCTGCCACTCTCTGAGGCTTCATCCCTGCCATCTCTCTGAGGCTTCATCCCCTGCCATCTCTCTGAGGTTTATTCCTCCCATCATAATGCAGTTTATCATTTTGAAAAATATTCGTTCCATTTGTAATGTAAAAAAAACGTAATTCTCGCAGTAATAAAACCCATATTACTCGCTAGATCAGGTATTACCCTAGTCAGAGTATTACTCGCTGATCAAGTATTATCGCTAGTCAAGTATTACTCCTAGTCAAGTATACTCACTAACAAGTTGCGGGAATGACCCGGAAAATTTTTAACTTAAATGTTGCAAATAAATTTAAATTTTCTTTTTTGATCCCCTTTTCCTCTCACCCCTCCGTTCCTGTCCCCCTCTCGTTCCTCTCATCCCTCTCGTTTATCTCATCCATCTCTTTCCTCCACCCCCCGTTTTCTCCCATCTCGTTCCTCTTCCCCCCTCTCGTTCCTCTACCCTCTCGTTCCTCTCATCCCTCTCTTTCCCTCCCCCCCCATTTGTCCTTCTTCATTTGTTCCTTTTCCATCTTGTTTCTCTCATCCATCTTGTTCCTTTCCCCATCTTGTTCTTTCACCCTCTTGTTTCTCCCCATCCTTTTGTTCCCTCACCCATCTTGTTCCTCTCACCCATCTTGTTCCTCTCACCCATCTTGTTCCTCTCACCCATCTTGTTCCTCTCACCCATCTTGTTCCTCTCACCCATCTTTTCTCTATCCATCTTTTTCCCTTTCCCACCCATCTTGTTCCTCTCACCCATCTTGTTCCTCTCACCCATCTTGTTCCTCTCACCCATCTTGTTCCTCTCACCCATCTTGTTCCTCTCACCCATCTTGTTCCTCTCACCCATCTTGTTCCTCTCACCCATCTTGTTCCTCTCACCCATCGTTCCCCCCCCCTTTTGTTCCTTCACCCATCTTGTTCCCTCACCCCATCTTGTTCCCCCACCCATCTTGTTCCTCTCCCCATCTTGTTTTCTCATCCATCTTTTTTTTCTCTCACCCATCTTGTTCCCTCACCCCATCTTTTTCCTTCACCCTCTTGTTCTTCTCCCCATCTTGTTCCTCTCACCCATCTTGTTTCTCCCCCCATTTTTTTCCCTTCTACCCATTTGTTCCTCTCACCCATCCTGTTCCTTCCCCCCAATCTTGTCCTCTCCCCCCATCTTGTTCCTCTCACCCATCTTGTTCTTCTCACCCATCTTGTTCCTCTCACCCATCTTGTTTCTCTCACCCATTTTGTTCCTTCCCCCCATCTTTTTCCCTTCCCCCCATCTTGTTTCCCACCCATCCTTTTCCTCTCACCCATCTTTTTCCCACCACCCATCTTGTTCCTCTTTCTATCTTGTTCCTCTCACCCATCTTTTTTTCCCTCACACATCTTGTTCCTTCCCCATCCTGTTCCCTCACCCTCTTGTTCCACTCACCCATCTTGTTCCTTTTATCTATCTTGTTCCTCTCACCCTCTTTTCCACTCACCCATCTTGTTCCTCTTATCTTTTTGTTCCTCTCACCCATCTTGTTCCACCACCCATTTTTGTTCTTCTCACCCATCTTGTTTCTCTCACCCATCTTGTTCCTTCCCCCCCCCATCTTGTTCCTTCACCCATCTTGTTCCCTCTAAACCCCATTTTGTTCCCTCACCCATCTTGTTCCTCTCCCCCATCTTTTTTCCTCTCACCCATCTTTTTTCCCTCCCCCATCTTGTTCCCTCACCCATCGTTCCCTCACCCATTTTGTTCCCTACCCTTTTGTTCCTCTCATCCATCTTGTTCTTCCCCCATTTGTTCCCCCTCCCCACTTGTTCCTCTCACCCTCTTTTTTCTCTCATCCTCTTGTTCCTTCATCCATCTTTTTCCTCTCACCCATCTTGTTCCCCCTTCTTTTTTCCTCCCATTTTGTTCCTCTCCCCAAAAATTTTGTTCCTCTCACCCATCTTGTTCCTCTCATCCATCTTTTCCCCCACCCATTTTGTTCCCTACCCATCTTTTTTTCCTCTCACCCATCTTGTTCTCTCCCCCCTCTTGTTCCTCTCCCCACTTTTCCTCCACCCTTTTGTTCCTCTCCCCATTTGTTCCTCTCACCCACTTGTTCCCTCACCCCTTGTTCCTCTCACCCATCTTGTTCCTCTTGACCTTCTTTCCATTTGTTTTTCAACTACATATCCTGTTTTAATTCTGTCACTTTCAATCTGTCTATACTCCTTTTCTTCTGCCTATCTCTGCCTGTATCTCTCACTCCCTTTCTCGTCCCTCCTCTCTCTCTCTCTCTCTCTCTCTCTCTCTCTCCTCTCTCTCTCTCTCTCTCTCTCTCTCTCTCTCTCTCTCTCTCTCTCTCTCTCTCTCTCTTCTGTCCCTTTCTCTGCTCTGTTGTTCTCTACACTGCCTGCACTGCTCGCTGTGACTGGGTGCGTGGCGCCCACACCTGCTGCGTGGCGCCCACACTTGCTGCGTGGCGCCCACACCTGCTGCGTGGCGCCCACACCTGCTGCATGGCGCCCACACCTGCTGTGTGGCGCCCACACCTGCGGCGTGGCGCCCACACCTGTTGTGTGGCACTTTCACCTGCTGCGTGCTGACACTCAGGTTAAGAGCACAGGGCAGCAGGACACCCGTGACAACTGCTGGAGGTTCTTCATCGACCGCGTCAGGAAGAACCTCAAGATGGTTCTCTGTTTCTCACCCGTAGGCTCCACTCTCAGGTAATGTTATCGTTGTATAAGAAATGTTCCAGCCTTGCTGTGTACCACAGTTGTAATGTCCAGTAGCTGCAATGTTCAGTAACTGCATTGTTCCAGCATTGTTATGTCCCAGATCAGCAGTATACTAGTATTGCACTGTACCAGACTTGAAAGGTCCCAGTACCACACTTAAAAGGTCCCAGAGCAGCTATGTGCCAGATCTGCAATGTCACATATTAGCAGTTTAGTAGAGTTGCATTGTGATTAAGTTGCAATGTAGTAGAGATGCAATGTGTCAGAGTTGCAACCTTCACAGAGCAATGATCCATAATTGCAGGAGGCAGAGTTGCATTTTCCCAGATTTCCAAAGTGGAGAATTTATAGCTTAAGAGTTATGTTGAGCTAGATGTTATACAATATATAAATTGTCGGGTTATGGCATAGAAGAAGAGCTTGAGGCACAGGTACAACGAGCGCAGAGGGAACAGATAAAGAAGAGCGTCTAACATGGGTATTGTGACGCAGGGTTCGTGCGCGGCAGTTTCCAGCCATCATCAGCTGCACTACTATTGACTGGTTCCACGAGTGGCCGCAAGAGGCGCTGGTATCTGTGTCTGAGACCTTTCTGGCGCAAATTGAGTACCTGCCGGTAGGTTCTGCTGGTTGTATTCGTAATCTTTATAATAAGGCTATTAAGGGTAGCAGAAGTCACAGCAGCATCATTAATCATAGCAATAGTAACCCTAGTATTAGTAATAACAAAATGTAATATTAGGCTTAGTAGAATAGAGTATTTTTTCATTTTCGTCGTTTGGCTGTTTCTCCCACATGTAGATACTGTGATCCTGAGACTTGTTTCAGTCGCTGCGAAATCCAAGAAAAGCTTGATTCATAACGTCATCAACTCACACACTGAAAATCTGGGATCGACCCCACCACGGGTGAAACGTTAGGCATGTTTCCTTACATTTGCTGCCCCTGTTAACTTAGCAGTCAGTAGGTACATGGGTGTTAGCAGGCTGGTGTGGGTCTCATCATAGGAAACAACATGAACCTTAGTTGACTGACATGCTCTTTTTAACCAGGAGCTTTCTATATAGTATGCCACTATGTCAGTCATGTCGCTGAGGTCAGTGGTCACGTGAGATCATACCTGTCCTAAGCTCTCTGGGAGTTAACATGGAGTGTTACTAAGCACCATGGCTTGTTGTAGTGTTTTAGAATCTCAGGTTAAAGTGTTCAAGAAAGAGGTGCTACTTCTTCAGGAGGAAAATAGGAGGCTGAAGCATCGCCTAGATGGGTTTGGGAGTGAGTGTGAGATGGATGGAGCTGCTAAAAAGGAAATGATAACAAGCAGTGAAAGTGGCAGCCACTTTAAGTGGCAAGTGGTTCACAGTTCAGGAAGAAGGAAGATAAGGAGGGTTAATAGAGAAGATATGAACGTAGGAAATCAATTCTCTGTTCTCCAGGATATATATACTTCAGTGGTTAGTGAGGTTAAAGGTATCACTGACTCCCCTGCTAATCAAGGTAAGAATATTCTAACTGTAGGAGATTCTCAGGTAAGAAATGTGGATCGTGCTTTTTGTAACAGAGATAGGAAGGTCAGACAGACGGTGTGCCTCCCAGGTGTTGGTGACATAGTCAGCTGGTTGGATAATATTATGTCAGGCAATAGGAACAAGCCCATTATCTGTCTTAGTGCTGGGAGTAATGACACTGGGGAGGGCAGGAGACAGGAGCTACTGAATAAGTACTAGTCGCCAATAAAAGTAGTCAGGTCTAAGGGAGGGATCCCAATCATAAGTAGCATATTACCTAGAAAGGGAGTGGGTAATGAATGGATGTCTAAGGCAATTGGTATAAATTGCTGGCTAGACAGGTACTGCAAGGAACTTGCAATCCCATTCATTGATAACTGGGACAAATTCTATGGCAAACATGATATGTATGCAAGTGATGGGGTTCATCTCTCTGGGGCTGGAGTGGTTGCATTAGATAATTCAATTGAGGGGGTAATTGATGACTTGTCTAGGACTTTAAACTGATAGATAATAGAGGTATGGGTGTTTGTGGGGAACAATCAGGCTGCAGTATTTGAGTTGAAAACAGCAGATGTTTAAAAGATAATATTCAAAATAAAGTTGCTAGTAAAGGCAAAGCAATTGATCAACAAACAAAGAGAGATAGTAGAGGGCAACGAGTGACTAGCTCCCTTAAGGTTTACTATACAAATAGTAGGAGTCTAAGAAATAAGATGGATGAGCTAAGATTGCTTGCAAGTGTAGGTAATATAGATATTATTGCTATAACAGACATAATTCAACCTGAAAGATAGAGAAATGCCCTCTGAATGCAACATATAGTTTATAAACTATTCCACACTGATAGGGTCAACAGGGAAGGTGGTGGAGTGGCGATGTTTGTCAGAGATAATTTACATTGTTGTGTTTGACAAGACAGGATTAGAAACATCAGACACAGAATCTGTTTGGCTACAGTTTCTCGAGGGACGTGACAAATTAATTTTGGGTGTGATTTATAGGCCCCAAAACCTTGATAGAGAGTGTAGTAAGCTGTTATGGGACGAAATTCATAAGGCATCTAGATATGAAAATGTTGTTCAATGGGAGATTTTAACTTTAGACAAATTGATTAGAACAATGTGACAGGAAATCTTGAGTCTAGTGACTTTCTTGATACGGTTCAGGATTGCTTTTTAGGACAGGTTGTGATGGAACCAACTAGAGGAAACAATCTGCTTGATATGGTTCTTGCCAACAAAGAATCACTAATTAACAATTTTGAGGTTAATGGTGAGCTTGGGGAAAGCGATCACAAATCACTTAGTTTCAGTATATCATTGAATTACCCAGATAACTGCAATCAAATCTCTGTCCCAGACTTTTGCTTAGCCGATTTCATGGGACTGAGAAATTGCCTGGGTTGGCTTAATTGGGATGATCTGACTATGGGTCAGGTAGGTGGTCTTGGTCTTGGTTTCAGAGCATAGTTCTAGCTGCCCAGACAATTTTTGTTTTGAGTAGGGAAATCAAATCTAACAAAAATGATCCCAAATGGATGAACAATAGATTAAAACATCTCATTGGTCAAAAGAGAGGCATATATAGGCTTATCAAAAGAGGGGATGGCAGTTAAGAAATCAATATTTTCAATTTAAGAGAGAAATAAAAAAAAAAGGAATAAGAAAAGCTGAGAGGGATTATGAAGCTAAGGTCGCAAGGGATTCGAAGACTAACCCAAAAGGGTTCTTTCAGGTTTACATAAGTATGATTAGGACAAGATAGGCTCACTTAAGTGTAGCTCAGGCCAGAACAGTGATAAGGAATGTGTGTAATTTTCAATACCTACTTCCTCTCAGTTTTTACCCAGGAAAATACTAGCGAAATTCCAGAAATAATAGATTATGTAGAATAGGACGATAATAAACTAGGCACGATCGCTGAAACTAGTGATATTTTCCCCAGACAAACAGAGAAACTATAACCTAACAAATCCCCAGGTCCTGTTGAACTGTTTGCACGGGTGTTAAAGGAATGTAAAAGGAACTTAGCATACCTTTGGCTAATCTTTTCAAAATATCACTACAAACTGGCATAGTGCCTGATAAGTGGAAAATGGCAAATGTAATACCTATTTACAAGGCAGGTGACAGGTCCTTAGCTTCGAACTATTGACCAATAAGCCATTGTTTGAAAATTTATGGAATCATTGATTGCCTAAACAATTCGTAGCCATCTTGAAAGGCATAAATTGATTAATGAATCTCAACACGGTTTTACGAAAAGGCGTTCCTGTCTTACGAATTTACTAACTTTTTCACTAAGGTATTTGAGGAGGTAGATCATGGTAATGAATATAATATTGTATATATAGACTTCAGTAAGGCTTTCGATAGAGTTCTACATCAGAAGCTATTGAGGAAACTTAAGGCACACGGAATAGGAGGAGAAATTTTTTCCTGGGTAGAGGCATGGCTGACAAATAGACAGCAGAGAGTTTGCATAAATGGGGAGAAGCCAGAATAGGGGTACCTCACAAGCGGTGTCCCTCAGGGGTCAGTGTTGGGCCCGTTGTTGTTCACAATTTACATAAACGACATAAATGAGGGAATAAATAGCGACATAAGCAAATTTGCTGGTGACACCAAAATATGCCGTCCAATTCATTCTAATGAGGACACTAGAGCACTCCCGGATGATTTGAATAGACTGATGCAATGGTCGTAGAAGTGGCAGATGCAGTTTTATATAGACAAATGCAAAGTTCTAAATGTTGGACAAGAAAATAAAAATGCCACATATAAACTAAATAATGCAGATCTTAATACTACTTATTGTGAAAAAGATTTAGTAGTTCTGGTTAGCAGTAATCAAAAAGCCAAGACAACAGTGCATTAGTGTTTGCAATAAAGCTTACAGAATCCTTGGCTTCATATCTAGAAGTGTAAATAATAGAAGTCCTTAGGGTGTCCTTCAACTCTATATATCCTTGGTTAGGCCTCATTTAGATTATGCTGCACAGTTCTGGTCACCATATTACAGAATGGATGTAAATGCTCTGGAAAATGTACAGAGGAGTATGACAAAGTTGATCCCATGTATCAGAAATTTTCCCTATGAGGATAGACTGAAGGCCCTGAATCTGCACTCTCTAGAAAGGCGTAGAATTAGGGGGGATATGATCGAGGTGTATAAATGGAAAACAGGAATAAATAAAGGGGATGTAAATAGTGTGCTGAAAATTTCCAGCCAAGACAGGACTCGCAGCAATGGTTTCAAGTTGGAAAAATTCAGATTCAGGAAGGATATAGGAAAACACTGGTTTGGTAATCGAGTTGTGGAAGTGTGGAACAAACTCCCGAGTACCGTCATAGAAGCTTAGACGTTTTGTAGTTTCAAAATAATTTAGATAAATACATGTGGTGTGGGTGGGTGTGAGTTGGACCTGACTAGCTTGTGCTACTAGGTCTGATGCCGTCCTCCTTCCTTTAGTGGAAGTAACCTGACTAGGTGGGTCATTGGGCTCAGCCAGAGGTTGACATGGGCCTGTCTCGCATAGGTTCGTATCTTCTTCTTCTTCTTCTTCTTCTTCTTCTTCTTCTTCTTCTTCTTGTTATTATTATTATTATTATTATTATTATTATTATTATTATTATTATTATTATTATTATTATTATTTCCTGTAAACCCAGCCTCATGTAATTGACTGCAGCATAATTTCTAATACATAAGCATTGAACATTTAAAGCTAATCAGATATCCTACTTTCTTCATTACAAATGTCAAAAATGGAACCTAGACAGCCAAAAATAATCTCAACTTTCCACTAAGTATGATACACCAGCTTTAAAACTTTGAAGTCATTCAACACAGGCATTGGCTAATTACCGCACAATAATCAACGTTCTTATATATTTAATAAATTTGGCTCATTAGAACATACACTGCCTAATTAACAATATAAACCTTATTCTGAGAAAAATGAACCAGAACATCAATTTAAACCTCATCAGAGGTTGCATTTTCAATATATGGCGCTCATTTTCTTAATAAAATTGTGAAATTAGCATCCTCACAGCCAAAACCAATTCATGTTTTAATTAATATATATTAACGTTTAGAATTT